AGATGCGCTTTGAAATGCTACCTTTTTCGGCTCAGTGCACTCACGAGCAAAATGGCCTGGGACTTGGCAATTGTAACACTTCATCTTGCTCTTGTCTTTCTTCTTGTAGAACCGTTTTCCTTTCTTGGAGGGTCCTACTCCGGTCTCCTTACCCTTTCCGTCATTTTTCCAGTTTCTCTTGCGCTTGAAGCTTGATCTCTTTGTACCACTTGATTCTGCCACAAAGGCATTAGGTACAGCTTTAGCAACACCAAGCCGCTCATCTTCAAGCTCTACATGACGGGCAACATGAGCAAAAGTTTTGATGCTATCATTGTAGGTCAAGTTAACCTTCAAATGTTCCCAATTATTGGGAAAAGACCGAATCACAGCCTGAACCTGTTGCTCATCAGAGAGAACATGGCCAGCACTTTTGAGTTGAGCAATCATATTTGACATCACCCTTAGATGTTGCTTGACACCGTGATCATAATGCTTTTTGTACGTGTCAAACTTGATTGTCAGCTGTCGAAGGCGAGTCACAGTCGTACCCCCATATGCCTCTCTTAAATGTGCCCACATGGCTTGAGCAGTAGGATACTGCTCACATTCGTGGATGAGATCATCAGCAACTGAACTTACAATAATTCCACGTGCAGTGGAATCTTTCTTTTTCCAAACATTATAAGTTTCCAGATCCCTCCTGTGTTGGGCAGTGTTACCCTCCTCTGGGTGACTCATAACATGGTTAATACTTTCAAGAGCATCTTGCTCTTCGAGTACATACCACATCTTACGACTCCAGATATCGTAATTTTCACCATTCAGTTTGTCACCCTTGTTCAAGTCAGTAATGATACTTTTTGATGCCATGTCTGTTATTAGAGACAATATTACAAGTTTAACTCATCAATATATACTTCAGTTAATTTATGCATGTGATTACACACTCAAGAAAATTAATTATAATATTAATTTTACATTTAGTATAGAATCGAATGGTCACTACGTTTCCATTCATCATCTATATCTAAATATTTTTAATTAATATTAAGATCACTTCTTAGTGTGTACATATTTTAAGTCTCAATCCATTACAAAAGGATATAATAAACAATGTATGTAACTAGTGAGACAAAAAGAAATATAATATAAATTTCATTAAAACAAAACACATAATAACAATTTACATGTTTGCTAGGACATCCATATACCAATCAAACACTAACTCTTGCTCATATACGCTAAAAGATGCACTAGGCCAAACATCATGATAAATCTCAGTTAAAATTTTACCCCAAGGCTCTCGAAGAGAGTCCGCTAAAATAGCTAATGCTTCCCAATCAGTCATTTCTACATAATTAGCCAATTCAGCTCTTTTTATCTTAAAGAGGTGTACATGTTCAGGAACGAAAACATTAGGGCCCATTTTAAATTCCTTAAACTCCCTAAATTTCTTTTCTCTTTCCCTTCATTCAGCCCTTCGATCCCTTAACTTATTTTGTCTCGCCCTTGGGACATTCCTGATGACTTCAGGCTCCGAGTCTGAATCATTATAGAAATAAGTCCTGCGGCGACGTACCCTTCTACGTTGTCCTCTTCCTTGACTTCGCGAACTCCCACTTGGAGTAATTCGAATTTGTCCCTGTTCAGCCATATCTGAAATTGGACCAATGAAACAATAAGAATGGCTACAACCACTCAGTGTTACAACATATGTCACAATAACTCGTAGAAGTATTTCAATATAAGGGATAAGGACTAAACTAATTTTCTATATTAAGTAGATAAAAAATCATTTTTCCAGTTTCAACAAGTGAAAGCATATTATGAGAACAGAATGCTTATGAACCAGAAATACAAATTTCACATGCCTAATTCAAAAATAGATACCAAAACTCCAACACGTTGGTACAGAGATGTAATCACGAGGAGCTATCATCGTGATATCAGCATTATCATGCTGAGATCTATACTCCTAGTTTGACCAACATCATTTGAATAGATTATTACATAAAGTTTTATTGAGCATCAGATCACTTTAGTAGCTAAAGGTCAAGCAGATCATTCAATGGTTGTGCAGCATGTACTAGATCAATTCCGAAGGAAGTTCAGTTATTTTGTTAAGCAGGTATAAGATATTAAGCTACATCCCCTCTGCTGTCATGGAGAATGGTTTTACATGATCTCTCTTAAATGATGCCCACACAGTAGGTACTTCAACTAGGTAATTCAATGGTCTGATATTCCTTATTTGTTTTGCTTTGGCTTAATACTTATTGATTCTTTAAACATGGGGAGAATCCCTTTGACTTGATTGTAGAATAATCAAGTTAATTATTATTCTGATTGTTATGTTGCATTATCAATCTAACAAAGTTGGATCAGTCGTTCTCAACCAAATCCAGTAGTGAATTATCAGGTACTACCATAGGTGGGCAGTAACCCCACAATCAGAATAATCACCACTTCTGCCTCAATTTGATCAAAGTTTATAGCTTTTCTCCTAAAAGTAAGTTACTTTACTTTTTTATAAAAAGTTTACTTTCTTATAAAGAATTATTTATAAGATTCATTCAGTTGTGAACTCACCGCCAGTTGTCAAGAATTCTCAACTTTGTTGTTTAGATGGCGAGTACACATCATAGATCATACTAATGGTATTTGTTTTGCTTTGGCTTAATACTAAATACATGAAGAGTAACAATTTAATTACCATTAAATAACAGTACTAGATGGTAGAAAAAAATTAACGCCATTTTAGTACTCCTTTTTCAATTTTCTGAACCAAACTTTTTCAATAGAGTTTTCTATTATTCTATGTTTAAAGAAACAAGAAACAACACTGGCTCTGATGCCATTGTTAGATTAAACCTAGGGGAGAGAACAACGAATTGTGTACCTTATTGATGCAGCGGAAACCTTTGAACTCACCACCAAAAGAATTTTCCCAAATCGTATTCTGAATCTCCAGGAAACAGAGTTTTGGTTCACAAACTAAATGCCTAAAGTTCACTGTGTTCTTCCTTTTTCAACTTTCTGCTCTTCCGAATTCTGTACTGAAGAGAAGTATATAGAGAAGAGGAGATAGGGAGAACTACCGATGAAAACCACCACTCCACGTTCTCACGTCTCTCAAAAGAAAACGTGCGGTAGTTTTAGGAGTAATAAAACCTACGTGTAACCTCTTAGGTTTTATCTCTTTTTAAAACGGGTCGGGTCAGTCCACATGTGCGACCCACGACCCAAACCTTATATCCAATAGTTCAAAAGACCTATCAATTGCTCGTATTGCTCCTCTGTCAACACATGACCTTGAAATGGATTCCCTGAGCCTTCTCCTGCTTCAACACTTGCAGCATTCACATAAGGTCTAGCTCATCCACCTTGAAATTTCTTGTTTCTCTTAGAATCTGCTGGGTATCCTATGATCTTGTAACAATTTTCCTTCAAGTAGCCTTTGTATCCACAATGATCACAAATCAGCCCAAACTTCTTTGACTTTAAAATTTGACCTCTTCCCGCCATCATTGTTAAATGATCATTGTTTGTGTCGACAACTCCTAACAACATTTGGCTTTCTTCTTGTGTTACAATAGCATATGCCTCATTCACAGTAACAACATGCCTTCTTAGCAATAGATGCCCCTTACATTACTGTAAATCTCATTCAGCCTCATTAGGAATTGTAACAACCTCTGTTGAGCCAAATATTCTAAAGATGGTCTAGACTCCTCACAATCACAAGCAGAGGTTGGGACCAACACATCGAACTCACTCCACAAATCACTCATTTTTGCATAGTAGCTAGTAACAGAGTCTGTACCCTATTTCAAACTAGCAATTTCTGTCCATAGGCGATGTATCCTTGTTAAGCTACACCTATCAAATTTTTCTTTGAAATCACTCCACACTTTCTTCGCATTTGAAGCAAATACAATACTTGGCATTAACTCACTTGCAACAGGGCTCCGATCCACGACAACCAAATTGCATTACACTTTTCCTACTGCTCTGCAAGTTCTCCTCTGTATGTGCTTTTGACGCATGACTCATCCACAAATCCAAGCTTTCCTTTTACTCTCAATTCTAGCTTAATCGCCATGCTCCATAGGGCATAATTTTTCGGCCATGTGAGCTTAATTGGGACTAAAACTAGACCTGGAGCGTCAGATGCTTGAAGAAACAGTGGGTGATTGTGCTCAAGTAAAGTCACTTCATTTCCGGCCATTTTGCTCCGATCGAAGAACTATGAATCCCTAATTTTCAGAAAATTTCACTCCCTTCCGTCGAAACTTCGAATTCGAGCCCTAGATTTGAGATCGTAGCTCTGATACCATGGTAATTGAGCTAGATTATGCCAAGTATAACATCAGTTCACACATGCAACTAACTATGGCAATGGAACAATGACTAGCAAGAGAGAAGATTAGAGGAAGAGAAGCTTCTAGATTTTTCAGTTAAGTCTGTTTTTGTACAATTGAGATCCGTATATCTCTTTCTTCTATTTAACTATACTTCTACTTCACTACTTTCTATTATTTACACTTTACTCCCTTCTAGTTTCTTGTGTGCTTCCTTTAGCCCCTTTTACTTCAATATGAGCGAGCTTGCTCGCTTGGTATGTGTATGTCCTACTCCACATGTATCTGATAATTTTGTCCGTAGATAAATGATTAAACTTGATGAGTTTAATCTTTGAGATTTTTAGCGTGAGCACATTGTATCATCGAAATTATGAGTTCTTATAACTTAATATTAGTTAAAGTATTAGAGGTGTTTATCTACATACACATAGATATATGCAGAGGAGGATCTATGATTTAGACTTTGTGGGTTTGGGATACCACTGAATCCGCTGACCAATTAACTCACTTGATTCGATATTTGATATCTGGTTCAATTTTTTAGTTTTTCTTGAACACCTTATTTAAAATCAAATACACTTGTATTTAGATTTTGAAAAACATTTTAACTTCTTTTTTTCTCCACATATTAGTGCAATGAACAAGAGAAAGAAATAAAAATTATGAATTCCCAACGCCAAATAAACTTTAATTTCTTATAGTATCTTTATTACATAACCATGAGAATCATGATTGCAGAATCTCAATAAACTGTCATTTGACTAACACCAAAAAGATGGACTCTCTGATTTATCAAAACCAATGAATTGGATAATCCAATATTAAATCCTAAGTATCTTAGTCAAATGCACTTAGTGAGAGATCTAAAAACAAGAAATCACAAAACTTATATAAATATGGAAATTAGTAGGTAAAACTAGTGTTAATTTCCTCTTTACTTCTTATCTGATCCCATTCCAAGAGTATTCTTCACTCCATCAATTGCACCTTGAGCCATGTGTATCATTTGCTCTCCTGTCTGATTCAATCAAATTATCAAAGCATAAATAAACAAATAAATTATTGAGAAACCTTACTTTTACAAAAATATTTTAATAAAATGTTTTAACCTACAATTGCACTATAGTGTATTTTGATTCGTTATAACACGGTGACATGTTTTATTTTCAGGTTATTAATCCCAATTTTATGAATGCTTTGGTTATCTATAAGGATTTAAGTTATACAAACGCACACATTTTTACGCTATCTTTATAATTTAACATGTTAAAACAAGCTACCTACCATTTAATCTATGTTAACACTCAGTACTTATTAAATAAAGTTACGTGCTTCCTACAATATCTGTTTGTTCTTTTTTCTCTGATAGATGGTCAGAACTTCAGCTAGGTTTGAATCCTACTGAGAGGTTCACTAGAAATCAGAAATTGTTAAAGATACAATTACCTTTAAAATGACCTAATTGTGTAATACTTTTACCTCTGTAATTATATTTAAATGACCTAATAATACAAAAATTCTTTTATCTTATTCGGTATATAGAAGTTAAAACTCTTTAAAATAAGAAAACAATTTAAAAAACAAACAGAATTATCTGTAATCTGCATTAGATTGATGACCTGTTGAAGCAATCCAGAATTTTGGTCCTTGTTTTGTTCAGCTGTCTCACTAGCTCTTTGTGTAGCATTTTCAGCCTTGTCTACAGCAGAATTTGCTATACTCTTCCCTGAATCTACCCACTGCTCTGTGTTGGCCTATTAATAGATGAAAAAAAAAAATATTTTCATCTCTAAAAATTAAAATAAATAAATAAATGAATATCAACAATTAATTGTATTTTGAATAAAGGGAGTACAAAAAATTTGTCCCATGACTTTGATCTAGTGATAAGGGGAGGGCAGCCTGGTGCACAAGGTATTCTGCGTTCACGCAAGGTTCGGGGAAGGGTCGTACCCTAAGATGTAGACATTCTACCCTAATGCAAGCATTAACGGCTGCTTCACAATTCGTACCCGTGACCTATAGGTCACACGGAGATAATTTTACAGTTGCTCTAAGGCTCTCCTTTGATCTAGTGATAAGAGCACGATAAATAATGTGTGGGTAAGGCGCACAATATGTGTTTGGATCTTGTCGAAGACAAAAACCTGATATTTAAACGGAGAAAGATCAAGGAACAAACTCAATTTCCATCGAGTTTTAAACTGTGCGTCACTGACACTAAGTGATTTTTCCTTCAAAACAAGAAGAAAAAAGAAAGAGAGTACAATTCTTTTTTACCTGAGCACGGCCATGGGATTCACCAGCATTGTACTGAGCACTTGCCATTTTTATTTTTATTTTACCTTAAAGAAAGTACTTATATGGTAATTTAGAAATTTATACTTAACTTGGTTATGAAAACTTGTATGAGGATGGGATCTATAAATAGAAAGGTTACTGATTTAATTGATTGATAACGCATGTGTTGCTGCTTTTGATTCTCCTTCATATGGATATATTTTGTTTAGCCTTCCATAGAATATGTTCATCCGTGCAAAATTTTTTTTTTGTTTTGTTTTTTTTGTTGATAAATTATCAGATTTCTCTTATTTTAATGATAAAATAAAATAATCCCTAATGATTTCCCAAACGCACACGCAAGTGTACGTGGTCGTACAAGTAATAAAATAATAAATCGAGTGTCGAACCCATAGAGACTTATATCAACTACTCACTAACTCACCAATATTGTTATTCAGTCAAGCTAAATGCGAGTTCAAAAGTTTAATTATACTAAATTACAATTCTAAGTAATAACTAAATTATCAAGCAGTAGAATGATTGTTATGTATTCAATAGAGACAAATATTTCAGGGTTGTGATCGATTCACCAATCTTATTGTGTTCTAGTTAACTCTCCCTCTCATACAATTCACTCATGGTTGCTAATTAATCGATAATTGCTCTCATAGCCTTTTCCCGAAGTACTACTCGTCTGTTCAAATAGATTAATGCCTATATCCCTATGAAATCAATCTATTAAGAACGCATTAAGATTACCATATTTAATTAAGCACGGTGACTAGGTATATTTCTATCCTAACCACAAATCCGCCCCCTAAGGGTTAAGATCATTCTCTCTTCAATTATTCTCTAATCTAAACATGGCTTTCCCAAGCATAGCATAGATAGTAAATAGAACCTAACTGCTGGCCAGACAATTAAGCAATTAATGACAGAATTGAAGAAACAACCATATATTAGTGAATTATAATCGAGGTTAAGTCAACGTTAAACAACAATATTCATGGCTAAATCACAACCCCGGAACAATGAATTTTTTAGCCACTCATGATACTAGCAAACAAATGCATAAGTTTTGAATAATTGAAAATACTAGAAAAGATGAAGAAATCTGAGATGTTCTTGCTCCCGAATGTTTCTTGTGTGTATTCTCTCTCCAAAGCGGCGTCCCTCCTCACAAAATAAGTTTAGTCTTGTTTTTATACGTGTTGGGTAGGTCTAGGGCCGAAATAACCTTGTCCCCGGCGAAATTGGAGAAAACTCACGTCATTGGCGCCCTGGCTAGCGCCAGGCGCCCTCCACGGCGCTCCAATATTTTTGATTCTATTTCTGGCGCCACAGGTAGGGCCGGGCGCCGCCCGTGGCGCTGAAATATGCCCTCTCCCTGTTTTCGTCCGTTTTGGCTCTAATTTTACACATTCGGCCCCCGATTGCTCCCTGATCATTCCTACACATGAAAATACATCAAATTAACATAAATTAACACATTTCACATCCTAAATCCACGAAACAAAAGTAAGATATGAGGCGATATACATATAAATATATATATACTTTAAGCAAAACATCAACACCCTACACTTAGACTCTTGCTCGTCCTCGAGCAATGGGATTATCAAATAAACCCCCAACTACGTACAAGTCTCAACTATGGAGGATCACTTTAACTTTTAACCACACACTATACCCTTGACTATGATCAATACTGGCACACAAGCATGAACACACAAAATTTCACATTCTTCTCGTTTAAGCATGCCCAAGTATAACATTTTAATTCAATCAATTCCAACAACCTATTTGTCACCACCCAACCTCAAAAGCCGACTTGTAACCACTAAGCACCCTCAATTCATGTACTCAACCAACAAGAAAGTTTACAATATTACCAATCATTCATGAGATCATGTGTCCTCACCAACAAACAAAAGAGTGAATATAGATTAGTCCACACATTCAAATATGCTTTTGAATATAGATCAAGGACATCACACAATTGAACAAAATTCGCTCACTCTTTCAAAGAATTCATATGCATCCCGTGGCCGTACCATAAGCTTGTCCGTAATGTATATCTCTACTAATTTAAGCTAGCCAAATCTAGGATCAATTAGGACTTTAAGGTTGTAATGTAGGCTAAGGGACGGGTATGATACATTTAGAAATAGTGGCTAACCCTCCTAAGCACTTTAATACGCTACATTTACAATTCAAGCACATATTCTTCTCAACCACTTCACTTTCCACAAACCATATGCAACATAGCCCTTAATTTCATTAAGCACTTCTATACTTCCACTAGCACAAATTATTAAGAATTGGAGGTGTGTATTTTTCTACATACTTTCACTATCATTTTTTTTCTTTTTCTTTTTATTTTTTTTTTGTGTTAAAGCAACTAAACTACACTAGACTAAAAATGAAACTACTAAACTAAATAATAAAAATAAAAGAAACAATAAAAGAAACACATTAGAACTACTAAAAGAAACAAATTAAAATAAGTTGATACAAGATATATAGCTACAACACAGGTAGTATTCCTCCCACCCCACACTTAAACTATGCATAGCCCTCGATGCATATAAAATATAAAACAGAGTAGGGTGAAAAGAAAAGCTCCCTGTCAGTCGGAGTCCTCCTCCGCAACATGCCTTTCATCAGCAGCTCTAGGCACATCATCATCTGGTCCTAGGGGCACCAAAGACATGGGCCCCATAACCTCATCACCAAACTCCTCCTCTGAATCCGAGCCCTTAACAGTGTTGACGTCCTCCGATGAGTGAATGGGGCTGCCAGGTGCAATCCCCAACATCTCCTTGGACGAACTTGACAAGTCATTGCGTAAATGCATACGCTCCTCGTCTGAAATACCAGACCTGCTCATGAGTAAATTTAGAGAATTATAGAGGTACCTGTTGAAGTTCTCATCTCGTTCAATCCGTGCGGCGGGAGTGATTTTGACGATGTCTCCAACAGAGATGTGATGTCCAAAAGCCCTGACAGAGCCTCCACCACCTCATCATGTCTAGGATACTCCGGTGCCTCCCGGGAGAGTATATATCGGTTGAGTAGGTTGCCAAAGAAGAACCTCTTAATTTGCCGCCCAAATCTCGTACGGGCCATCTCACCAAGCATAATCTCACCCACATTAATGGGTCTGCCAGTCATCAAGAAGAATATGACACACACTCTAGCTCGAGTGCAGTCACTGCTGTGCTCGACTGGCATGAGTTTGGCTTGCTCAAAATTCTGCCACACTTTGGCAGTCTTGTTAAAATCAGAGCGAACCATCGAGAGGTGGACATCGCCGTGCTTCTTGATCCACTTTGCATTGGAATCCACGCCAAAAAGAGTGTGACGTATCAAGTTGTATTTGGGACTCTTGACAAACTTTTGGAGCCTCCCAGGGTCAACATTTTCAACCCCTAGAAAATCACATAACACCCTCCTATCCAATGGCATGTCCACTTCACGTACATGCGACCTAGATAATTTGTAATTCCAATTAGCATATAATTCTCTAACCATGCTCAAATTTGTGTGTCCAGGGCATTCTAGGAGTTTGTCCATTTTTTATGCTCGTAATCGGCCGAGGACATCCAGGAAGTTGCGTTCCAAAGACTTGATATCGATCCCCATCTCGAAGACATACCGCCCTTATTGCACGAAATCCCTATGCCATGCAATAGCTGCATCAGAAACTAGCTTCAACCGAGGCCGTGGGGTTAATGGAGCTTGCTGGGATGCCTCAGCAACCTGTTTTCCTTTGGATTGGCGTGAAGAGCTTTCCCTCTGCTTTCGCTTTTTGGTTGCTGGGGAAGTGGTGGAGGACTTTCCAATGCCCTTGCATTTGCTAGAACCATCACGAGCCATAGTATCCTGCAACACAAATAAGCATGAATTTGAGAACTTGTCCAGAAATATGCCTAAGGTTGTCGTGCTAGTCATGAAATGACCCCACACTTAAAACCGAAGGCACAATGTACATACTTCACAATTTTTTTGATCTAACATGTACAAGTGTTGCACTCCAAAGCTATGGGTACTCAAGACTTCCCCATGCCACCCAATAGTGAGTGATCATGGCTACATGAATTCACATTAAGGTAAACAAAGGGCATATGGTACTCACCTTTCCACAACTACTAGACTACACTAAATTAGTTAAATTTACAAGAATCTACAACATACTTTATATAACATAGATGGTGTAGGAACATGTATTGCATCAAAATCACACCTCCTAGCATGTAAAAGCATCCCTACACACCCACACTTAGCCCAAATTCATACACAAATATACCCGGTTACTCAGACTTCACCGGTACACCAAAATCCTCATTCAAGCATTTTAACAAACACCTTGCGGGCATAAAGTGTGTGCTTCTAATTCAATAATGGTGGAATATGGTGGCCCTACCAATTTTTAACGAAGTAGAGGAAATTCTAGTTTACTACTCCGTATACACAATAACCACACAATTTCGACCAACTCAAGCCACCCACCATAAAAATTTCATAAGAACTACATAGGGAAAATTTTTGGGGATTAGGGCTCTTGGGAATGGGATATCTAATAATTCAACATACAAACAAGAAGAAGAAGAAGAAGAAGAAGAAGAAGAAGAAGAAGAAGAAGAAGAAGAAAGAATAACTTACCTGGAGAGTGTAGAAGGAGGGCAAAAGAAAAACTTTGAGAAAATTTTGTGAGGAAGAAGAGAGAAATCGTGCAGAAGCAGTAGAATTTTTTTTGCACGTTTTTTTTTTTGTGTTTGTTCGTTGGTTTGTGTTTGGGTGGGTTTGGGTTATGGTTAAGTTGGGTTGGGAATGAATATGGGTATTAGGATGGGGTATAGTATTAGTGTAAATGGGTATTTGGGTTGGGTTAAATGGGTATGAGTTAGAAAATAAAAAAACGAAAAAATAAAAAAAATAAAATATATTTACCTGGATCACCCCCCAGCCCAGCGCTCAGTGCTATGCCTGGCGCTGGGGGATTTGAGTATTCTTCCTTCAGCGCCCTAGGCAGCGCTGGGCGTTGGCCTAGGCGCTATTTTCGAATTTTTTTTTTATGTAACATCCTGATCCCCCGAACCTTTAA